TAACATAAGAAATCCCACATGGGTGCTAGTCACCAGATCAAAAAGACTGTTTACAAAGCGAATGATGAGGTTTCAGCTTTAAACATTGCTGTTTAATGACGTGGGTGGCAGATGTTCATGATTTAATGACTACCTGGTTCTCAGTGTAAACAAAATGAACGAAAAGTAAAACAGACTTCATGGCCTTTGTTGCTGAGCAACTGCCTGGACAGATCAGCAAGTAGGTCTAAACAGCTTTTTCTTAATTAATTAATTATTTAATGTGTATAGATACATATGGGTATATTAGATGGGGTTCAGTTTATGAGGGTTCTATCTGAAAACAGCCATAAGAGGTAAGACAACATTACACCACTGATCTTATGGGATATTTTATGGCTTTGCATTTCCAGGGTTTCTATTTTATCCCTGAGAGCTGGACGGTACAGCGTCTGAGCAAAAACTCATCTGTATATTGATTTCGGAGTGTAGTAATAGCACGCTGTGCTGGATCCGGTGGAACAGGGCAGGAGGAATCACCTCCAAGGCGTTTTTACGGCCTGCAGCAGGGCTGCGGTGGAAGCAGAGATTTATGGTAAAATATTCTCCCACTCACGAGGGACAGGGAGATGTTTACTCCTTAAGCAGCTATTTACGTCATGTGCTCGTTTTAACGATGGACTTGCATCTCCTGTGCGTCTTTATCCTCTGCGGGCAATGCCAGTGTGATTACAGAGAGACCCCAGCCCCATTAAAATTTAGCATCTCTGATCAAGACTGATGAGGGATGAGGGAGAAACGGAGTGAGAGGGAGAGAGATATGAAGATTAAGGAGGATAGGGAGCGAGAGGAAAATGAATGTATGCAGAGAAGCAACACTGTTTCGATCAAACAAAAAAAAGAAGAAAAAAGAAAGAACCCAAGACGCTCTCACTCAACAGCAGTAAATAAAGCCCTCTTGGTACAATTCAGTACATGGGCTCTCATAGCGGCTCTCGGTTTCGGCTCAGTTGCTCCTGCAATGTTGCATAACCAACGTAACCAAATTGTTTTATAAGCTGTGTAACAACAGCTCAGCATAAATACACACGATAAGGGCGCTGTCATTATCCACATACACATGCATGTATAATTTCAGAACAAGGAGAACACAGGACCGTCAGAAGTCTGGAGGAAAATGTAGGCTGCATTCATGAGGAGCTCATTCAAATACAGGTTTGACATCACAAATCCCATCCTCCACCATCAGTCACTGCCAGAGGGGTTTTTTAATGTGAATTTCTCTTGGCAACCTTGCATGCTTTTGGAACGCGCTCCTTTAAAGGTTATTGGCACGGAGCTTGATATACAGACGCTGCAGCAACACGGCAGAGTCAACCAGCAATAACATGACAGGGTCTAAAAGATCTGCTTTCAACAGCTTTAAGTCACTTTCTTACCTCTTTACTTTCATTCTCCCCCTCCTCTTTCTCTTTATCTCCTCTCTTTTTCCATGTCTGCTCCATCCATCTCTGTCTCGTTCTCTCTCTTACTCTCTTGTCCTGTCTCTCCCTCACCCTCTGTCTCACTTTCACCCTTGCTCTCTCGCCCTCTTTCTTTCCTTCTCCTTCTCTATTGCACTCTCTCTCCCCTTCTTTTTGCTGCTTTCTCCATCTCTCCAACTCCCTCCTTCACCTTTGCTCTTTCTATCTCCCTCACACTCTCTCTCATTTTTTTCTTCTTTCACTTTTCCCCTTCGCTCTTGCTCTCTCATCCTCTTGCTCTCTCTTTCTTGATCTTTGATCCCTCTCTCTCTCTATCTCTCTCTGTGTATCTCTCTCTCTCTCTCTTCGCTCTCACACCTTTTTCTCTCTTTCCATTTCTTTTTGTCTCCATCTTACTCTCTCTTCCGCTTCTCTGTCCTCCATCTCCCTCTCTCTCCCTTACTGTCTTAATCTTTACTTTTTCTATCTCTTTCCATATCACTCCCCATCTGTCTCTTTCTCCCTGTCTCTCTCTTTGCCCTATCTCTCGATCTTCACTCACTTCCCCTTCTCTCCATCTCTGTTGCCCTCTTTCAATCTCTTACATTGCCTCTTGCTTTCTCTCTCACTCTCTCTCAGTCTCTCACTTCTTTTTCCCTCTCTCTCTTCATCTCTTCAATTCCCTCTCTCACCTTGTGCTCTCTCAACCTCTGTGTTCCTATCTCTCTCATTCTTTCTCTCTATTTTGACACTCTTTCCCCATTCTTGCTATCCATCTCTATCTGTCTATATCACTCTTTTATTCTCTCCCCTTCTCTTCCTCTATCATTCTTCTCCTCTCACTCTCTTGTTCTCTTGATCTCCCTTTCTTGGTCTTTCACCCCTCTCTCTATCTCCCTTTCTCTGTCTCTCTTTACTCACCCACCTCTCCTTCTCTTGTTCCATCTCTCTTTCTCTGTGATGCTGAACACAAGGCTGTGTGTCAGACCTGTTTTGGCTCTTGAAGCGTTTGATAATTAGTTGGTGATTTAGTTTGGATGTGTTAAACTAGTGAAAGCACTGAACAGTGTGGTGCTGTGGCCCTTGAGGACTGGATTTTACACCTCTGCTCTATAGTGTTTCCAGTTTTTCTCGATTGCTAAAACACATTTAATGAAATGAAATGATATAATCTTCACTCTCACTCTGTCTTGGCAAAGAAGAAGTGTTCTTTTGTATGTATGTTAACACTTTTTGTTGTTTTCACTCATTTCACACATACCTTTTTAAAGCAGTTAACACAGAAACCAAGAAAACCTCAAAAGTTCATGGGATAACTCTTTCAAACAGAAGAAAAAACAGGTAGTGACAGCTGATAGAAATACTCTCCACAGTCCATCAGCTGTCATTAGTTTCTGACTGTATGTGTGGGTAAAGGAGACCATAGACAGGTTTTTATCAGATGAGGAATAGACTGTCATTATAAAAAACTGGTTTTCACAATGACAAACTTGACACTGACAAGCTGTTGAGAGTGTAAAACATGCAGACAGTGGATTCTACCAGAGATGCTATAACCAATTTACTGCACATCCCCTCCACTATCATATTCAGAAACATTTGTTTCTGCTTTTTGCCATACTTCTTGAAAAAAGCTGAGAATAGTAGGAAGCAGTATGGTCCAAAAACAGCTGGAAACAGTATTTGTCAGTAGAGAGATGTGCAAAAAGTTGAGATTTTAAAAGGTGAGATTTTTAAAAAGTGTATAGTAGATACAGAGTAGACTTAGATTAGGGTTAGATCCATTGTCCACTTTCTGTCACAGACAAGCCATGATTGATGTCTTGGTCTACAATTGTTTCTGGAATGAATTCATATAATTTCACTGGAATTTTCAGTTCAGTATGGTATGTATGCCAAGGCCTTCAGGCTGGGCTCCTCTGACAGTCTGTCTCTCTACTGACAAATACTCAGGACTACGCACTGAAGAACCAAAAAGATGGTTCTTCAAGGGTTCTTTAGTAAAGAAAATGGTTCTATGTAGAACCATGAACACCAAAGAACCCTTTACATCAGGGGTGTCAAACTCAACCACTAAAAGGGCCATATAAAAATTTCAGCATATCCGTGGGCCAGCTGTGTTTTTATTTCATTTTTACTTAACATTTTGGCGTCATCTGAATGGGCCATTGTTTATTCAAAACATGCCAAAACTGCAACAGCAAAATAGGCATTAAATACTTATTCAAAAATAATTCCAAATAAAAATAAATTGTTTATATAGTTTTCTTAAAACTGCCTATTTGCTTAAACTTGACACCAGGCATCTTTTCTTTTTGTGTAACCACTGACCCAAAGATTGTTGGGGGAAGGGGGTCAGAACACACACTACGTTGCATTGCATGCTGGGACTGTAGTGCATCTCAGGGTAAAACAGTCTAATAAGAATAGAAAATGAAAATACTTTTGCGGGCCGAATAGGACTGTGTCATAGGCCTGACTTGGCCTGCTGGCCTTGTGTTTGAAACATGGGCTTTAGATGATTAAAGGGTTCTTTGCCTTGTGAAAGGCTTCTTCTTTTGTTAAGGGCTTGACATCATAATAATATCAGAGCCCCTTTTGCTATATAGAACACTTTTCAGAAATGTTCTATATAGAACCATGTATGTAAGAGTGTAGGGATGGCTACATTTAGGGCAGTGTTGCCCTCCACCCCTCTCACATGTCCTTAAAGAGTGCAGAAAAAAAACAAATGTTTGTTTCTGAATATTCTGAATAATTGTTTTTTTGGTTTTTTTTTGTTTTTTTTTGGTTTGGTTGGTTGGTTGGGGGATTGCAGTACATTGTACCCAATGTGTTTCTGATATTCACATTTCTAGAAGGATTTACATTCTACAATTATTCACAGTAACAGATTAGCAGATAGTAATGCACAGATACTTAGGGTTAATTTGTTGTTGTTTAATGAATGATTGAAGGGGTTGTTTGAAAAGTTTGATTTTGTGTCATATGTTTGGTGTTCTGTGGGGATCAGTCTATTCAGTCTATTTTGCAAAGAAAGTGTGTTATTTTGGCCAGCAAGCCTGTGTTCAATATGGACATTCAGAATGGAATACAGTGTTCAAGCAACTGAGAAAAACTGTAATACACATCCATTGTAGTTCCTCCTGATGAGTTCTTTCACAGTTTATGTCTCCATCTCTTCTTCTTCATACTCACTCTTTCTCCGATTCAATAATGATGACAGATATTACTGTGTGACTGAGTTCGAATGGTTTTTTATATGAAAATTGAGGCCCGCTGTCTTTGGCTCTCCCGCAAAGCGTTCTGTTATAAGTCAATGACACAGCAGTATTGCTAATCAGTGTGAAAGATATAGGAGAAAAGGGGATATATAGCTCCTCTCAAAAAGAAGCCAGGGCAGCTGGGCTAAATCACTCTCCTGTGTGTTTCAAGAGTGACCTGACCCTACTCATCCATGCTGTCAGTCATGAAATATTTCTACTGATCGATTGAACGATACACCATCCATCTACACTGCGTCTCATTCAGACTCTCTCTCTCTCTCTCTCTCTGCAGTTTTTCATCCTGCTCCTCCTGATTTTCCTGTTGGAGATTCTGTTCATCATCCTCTTCTTTGCTTATCAAGATCAGGTAAGGAACCCACACTTGTACCTACATTTCTCCCATTTAAGCCCTGGAGGAGCTGGCATTTAGCTGTAGCATTCATATATAATTACATAATTGCATAACTAATGACATTATTTACATTATATAATTAACTACAGGCAGAATAGTAACTGCAGTGTAGTGTTTCTTAAGCAGCAGCCCAGGCAGTCTAGTAGCTGTATGCCCTCAGGTACGTATTTAGTACCCTTAGTTGGGGAACATAATTGTACTATAATCTATTGCAAGTTGTATTTACCCCACACATTTATTGTTCTGTTTTAAAATATCAGGTTATGATAAGTTACAAATATATATTTTCTCCTATCCTAAATATCATTTAAGAGACACAATTGGACCCTAATACCATGGTTGTACTTTTGATTTACATTGTTTGTACCTTGATATACAAAAATGTACCTGCACAGTTTCTGAAAGTGTGCTACAGGCAGCCTACCTAGTGACTGTGGTGTAGTGTAAGTGGCCGGTCCAGGCAGCCGTGTAGCTGTGCTGTAGCATTGATTAAATTGCCGACCAAGGCAGATTGTCTCAGTTGGTATAGTGGTGATCTCCTTAGCTAGCAGGGAAACGTTTAAACTTACACACAAACAATAAAACAACCAAACTGATACAAAGCAGAAGACATACTGCACCAGTGTACTTACATTAGAATGCACATAAACAGCAACATACAATATTTTTGTAAGCATTTACTTACTTTACTAAGAAGAAGGAATTGGGAGGGTCCTAATTTATGAGGATTACAAGCATTATAAACACAAATTGTTAGCACAGATAAGACATGAGCAGATAAAAAGACAAGGTTGAAGTTTACTTGATAGTTTGGTAGTGTTACAAAGAGCATGGTCATAACAGACTAGGGTCAGTACCAGGGAGCAGGATAACCAAAACAAGAGGGACATCCAGAGATAAACCAAGAACGAGTCCAAGATCGAAAACCAAGAGAACACAAAATACACCGCAATCCAACCAGAAAGGGCAGGTCAAAACCAGGTCATACAGAAAAAAGGCTTTTCAGACAAAGAACACACAGCAAACAACCAAAGAGCTGGCAATACTTCACAATGAACTAAACTAAAGCCTGAGCTTAAATACTATCTAACTAATGAAATGAAGTGACAAACAGGTGTAACAACTTAGAATTCTGCTGAGGAGGAGCGCTGGAATGAATGTTCATTGGTAGATGGCGATAGATGGAGAGTCATGTGATCTACCACTGACTCATGGGAGTTGGAGTCCTCTAGACAGTCCACGGACTCAATTGATCCTGCAGGGGAAAGGGAGCAGGCAGAGGGGGTGTCGTTGGCAGGAGGCGTGACACAAATTATCAATGTAAAGCTTATCCACATTTTCAACAGACTTTCTCTGCTTGTTTCAGTGATCTAGGAGCAATGATTGCTATTAAATTACACCATATTTTTGTTACTACCGGTGAAAACAGAAATTTTTAATTAACATAATTATTGTCCCTACATTTCTAAAACCGATTTGTGCAGTTATATTTTTTAAGTGTGCCATCATGCATCATACCCCATTTAAGCCCTGGGGGAGTTGTCATTTTGCTGTAGCATTTATATATAATTACATAATTGCATAACTAATGACATTATTTACATTATACAATGACTTACAGGTAGCCTAGTAGCTGCGGTGTAATGTTTCTCAAGCAGTTGGCTCAGGCAGTGTAGTAGCTGTGTACCCTCAGGTATGTCTTCAGGACCTTTAGTTAGGGAACATAATCGTAGTATAATCCAATGCAAGTTGTCTCATCTGCAGCCTTTTTATTTTATTGTTCTGTTTTTATTGAAAACAGAATTTTTTAATTAAAATAATTAGTGTCCCTAAATTCCTAAAACCCATTTGTGCAGTTATATTTTTTTAAGTGTGCCATAAAAAGCTGTGTAACTGTGTAGCTCTACTAGATCTACATAAAAGGAAAAGAGGAGCATAAACTCTTGCAGCATCAGTTGCCAGTAGTCTTAAATACATTTCATCTCATACAGTCATAGACTTGCTACTCTGCATCACTCCAGATCACTTCAGTAACAAAAAGTCCATCAGTGACTGGCCCCCCGTCTTCTATATCTCCACTCAGCGTCTGATGGGGGAGGCTAAGGCTATTAAAAGTGTTAATCCTTCAAATGCTGCCCCTAAGCACGATCCTGCCAATCAAAGGGGCGGGTCGGCCACTCTCAGCATGGTCCATGGTCTTCTGTGGATTGCTAAAGGTCAAGATGCTGGCGATAAATGTTTATCTATTTTCTTTCGTTCTCTCATGCTTTCTACTCAGCATAGCTTCTTCTTTTAAAAGAACCTAATCTTGAGTTACATAGATTGTGATCATTCAGCTCCAGTCCTTGAAGACGTCTATCAGATGGTGGTTGGTTAGAGCTATTCAGAGTGTTGAATAGCTCTGACCTACATGTGTACATTGTGTATCTTGCACATATGACTTATTCCTTTCTTGCATGACTATCAGGCAGTTTCTTGTACAAGGATTAAAGCTGGCAGCATATTTTAAATGAAAAAAGAGTAAAATTAAATCCAACCACAACTGAATATGTTATTGTAAGTATACTTACATAGAATTCCATGAATGTCTCAGCACTGCTAGAAGCTTGATCTGTGCAGTGGGCCAATCAGGGTCAGGGGGAGGTCTCAGAAAAAATGAAGCAGTGATTAGGACCAGTCGCAGTCAGTGGGAGGTTGCCAAGTAAATTAGACAGTTTGTTTCAGCAAGCAATGCACACAATACAGTGATGAACTCAAACTGCTGCATCACTATGGCTAAGTAGTTGTTTTGCTCTGAAATGTTTGCATATGACTCATGATGTGAAAGTGTTAACACCATCTGGTCAAATTATGAATATGTTTCATTGATAAACTAGGTGAAAATAAGTTGACACGTCTTCTACCGGCAACAAACTTAAATATTTCAGTTTCCTGCAAATTTTAGTGCACATATGGAAGAAAAATATATGTACACATTTGCTACAATTGCTATATATGGAAATACATTAAATAAACTTGTATGTATAATATTAAAACTTCATATATTCACTATATTTAGCAAATAACCCATATTTATCAAAGTATAAATTGTGTCCTTTAATAAAGTATAAATGGTGCAAGACGACGCCCTACAGACACGGCATCAAATGCACTGATTGTTTTTTCCACGTGAAAGGCCTGTTCAGTATTCAGCACTGCAATTTCAGACAGTTTCTCCTGACTCATAGTGTTTCTCATGTAAGTTATCAATCGACACAAGCCAGAAGAATTCCTTTTGCATGAAGTGCTGCTCATTGGCACAATCTGCAGCAATTTGCAGAGGTTACCGATGTTTACTATCACCTACATCTGACGCTTTAAAAAGTGCTAATTGTTGATCGAAGCCAATTTCTTCTGAGGGCATAGTGTTGAAGAGGGACAGCTCTGCACTTATCTCCTCTTTGGGAAATCCAAAGTGACGACAATCAGATGCCAGGTGCGCCTAAGTGTGTGTTGTAGAGCCGAGAATGTTGTTTGGTGCGATTAGGCTTTCCACGCCATTTTTCTAAAACTGATCTCGGATTTCTTGAATGGTTTTGTCCAGCACATCAAAATACAATTCCTTGTAGTAACCCTTAGCAGAGTCAGCATCTGATCCAGTCCCTGTTACTTTGCTGGACCTCCTCTGTGGACGCTGTGGGCCTCGGTAGTTGTTTTGAGCACACAAGTAAACCGTGTGCTTCCAGAGTTTTTGAAAGTCGTTATCTGTTCAAATTGCTAGCAGAGTAGAAACTGTGCTACTAGCGAGGCTCTTGACCACAGCATAATTTAAACTTAGTGACTGCAGTGCTTTTGATAGCACATTGCATTGCATGAAAACTCATCGCGTCAGAATGCAGGCTTTTTCCCAGTTCGTTGAATTCTGCAAATAAACAGTAATGGTGTTCTCTGTGGAGGTTAAGTTATTTTCACACAGAAAATCAAAAAACATAATTTGACCAGGCGTGCACAAACTTTTGCATAAGACAGAATGCTGCCGACTGTATACTCTGTACCACTCTTACTTCTCCTAGCTTCTAGTGGGGCTAGGGACATACAAGTTCTTTTAAGAATACTTACACAGCGTGACAGGCAGTAGTATGGTTTTGTTTAGTTATTTTGCCGTTTGAAGTAAACTGGCAGCTTTAGGCCTAATCCGGGTCTGAGAAACTGGCCCTACACTGCATTGCATTTACTTTCAACACAGTTTTGTCTTTTAGTTTGCATACTCTGGGTAATAATTTTGTTGATATGTTTTATTCATGTAGAAATGATGAACACTTTGGAATCAAATGCATTACTTTTTGAACGTATGTGTATTGAAAAGCATGTAAAGTGGCTGTTCATTCCATATCTACTTGAATGTACACTATAGGTATAAAATCTGCTCATCCAATGCTTCTTCTGAAATCAAGGTTATTAATGGCTGCAGTCACAGCCTCTATCTGGGAAGGCTACCCTGCATATAAGTTGATTGCATTCAGCCGCAAGAGAATCACTGAGGTCAGTTACTCATGTTGGAGCATTTGTTTAAGATCACAAATGCCACTCTAACTCATCCCAATGGTATTTAATGGGGCTTCATCACACTAGAGAACATAGTTCCACTGCTCTACAGCCCAGTGCTGGAGGACTTTATATCCTTGGCATTGGACATAGTGACCTTACGCTCGTTGGCTACAGTGCCCCATTCTATTGGCAGTACTTTTCTATGCAGATTACACAAGCTGGTCCCTCAGGTACAGGTTTTGTCATAGCCATGTCTGCCCAGATCATGATACAGTGCCTGAGTGGACAATTTGCCCCACAGCATGTTTGCTCAAACTTAAACAGGCTGTGTGCTTATGCAAAGCTTGTCCATTCAAACAGATTAATCTGTTTATCTGTCGCTACGCAAACTAGAACTGGTTGTCTACTTCACTGGAAATCCTCAGTCT